ACAAAGTAAAGTAACTTGTCTATTTTCATATATTATAAAATGCAATGAATTCCTGGTAATTGCAAAGCTGAATTTTCAGCGTTATTAAGCATGCAATCATCAGTGTCACATGATCTTTCAGAAATCATTCTGATATGCTCATTTGGTGTTCAAGAAATATTTCTTATCATTTTCAATGTTGAAAACAGCTGTGCTGCTTAATATTTTACAAATTCATTGATAAATAGAAAGTTTAAAAGAACAGCATTTCTTTAAAACACAAATCTTTTGTAACAGTATTAATGTCTTTACGGTCACTTTCAATCAATTCAAAACTTCCTTGCTGAAAGTAATGGAAAAAAACAACTTACTAACCCCAAAATTTTGAATGGAAATGTATATATACATCATTGCGGTCTCTAGGACCCCATATGAGCAAATGTATAAATTAAAATGTCATATATCCAGTAAAACACACCTAAAATCTAAATAAAACCTGTCTCTTTAACTCAGCATCATTAAAAACACACTCTAGGCTGTTTTGTATGTGAATTTGTGATTCTTCTTCACACCTGGTGAGTGTTTAACTGATAGGGCTCTTGTGTGGTAAGAGTCTGGATCTGAAGTCAACACTGTGAATCTTTCACTGTGAACACACAGTGATCCTGAAGCAGCTCCATATCTTTAATGACTGTTCCAGGATCAGCACTGAACAATGGCACCCAGTGTGGCATTGATGGCGAGGTTAAAGGTGCCCTATAATTACTACAATACTACAATATAACAATACTGCTCAAGTCTGATACTGATACTCTTACCTGATACTCCTGGTTTGCTCCAGTGTTAGCAAGGATGAACAAGTAGATTACCTACAGGGTAAAGCAGTCCATGCTGACGGGACTGGTGGGGAATGAGAATGGAGTCTTGCTGTCAAAAAACCACACCTCTGAACTGATCTTACTGCTACAGTTAATGGTTACCAGCCTCTGGTCTCTGGAATGACTGACCTCCACAAAGAACCTGAGGAACAGGCATAACAATTAGACACTTACTCTGGATCCTTTTCTTCATAAACAAGCTGGTTTGGACACCAGAATCACTGAGATGAAGACGGAAAACACACAGGCACCGAAGAGTCTCCTGTGTGCTGTAGTAGAGGACATCATCTGTGGCCCATTCTGCACAGAGAGAGGACATTTGAGGAGGAAAAGAATGTTTCTTTGTCAAGAAAGTTTCAATTATAGTAGATCTTACCAAAGCTGAGCACATTGTCTAAAAGCAGCAGGGCCTTTTGACAAAGGATGACACCACCTAAATGAACCAACACACATCTGGTCTCCTCGTGATGGTCTTTCTTTACAGTGATGGCCAGCATGGTCTCTGTGGGAGAGAATCTGACCCTCTGGATGGTTCCATATCTATCTCCTCCCCAATTCGGCATTGAACACCTCCAACATCTCCTGCTCATCTGTATGCAAACATTGCTTTGTTTCTAGTTGGAACTTAATAAAATGTGTTTACATTGATTTCTTCTAAGTATCTTTTACCGTGTCCCAGGGTCGATCTGTAAATCCCTTTGCCATCTTCAAAGTATACAGTGGGGCAAAAAAGTATTTAGTCAGCCACCAATT